TAACACTGCTGAACTGATATCAACTAAATGTAATTACGAACCACTGCAAGAAAACTGACTTTATTTTTATAAAAATCGCTTTGAAATCGGTCGATCCATTTGAAAAAAAGTCAGTGGTGGCCTAATGGTTAAAGGGCTCGCCTCTCGTTGCCGAGGATGCGGGTTCAAACCTGGCAAGTACCAATGTGATTTTTCGGAGTCATATGTACTTTCTGAGAGTATTTAGACATCACTGACATACGGTGAAGGAAAATATCGTGAGGAAACCTGGACATATAGTTCGACAATGATAAGTTTGAAATCACCAACCCGTCTTGAGCAAGCGTGGCGATTAATGCTCAAACCTTCTCCATGTGAGAAAGAGGCCTTTGCTCAGCAGTGGGCTTGTGATAGGCTGATGACGATTTGAAAAATACGATGCCCCAGACAGTTTCACACACCCTTACGTACATAACAACCAACATTTAACAATTTTAAAGTTGAAAGTTAAAACCTCCTTAGAATAACCTTATTTATCAAGACATCTTTTTTACACCAACAATAATATTTTTCCTCATAGAAATTCTAAGAATTCATCTCTATAACAGTATGGTACATATGAAATTAAACGACATAATTTCAGTTTCAGTATATTAAAGCTGAAGTCACCTTAACACAGTACACGTCAGGTGTACAAAGATATTGTCTTCACTCGGTCGTGCTTTAAAGGTGACGTGGCGTTGTTAGGAAAACTGTTATTCAGGATCTTTGAGGTCGACCGTAAATTATAATTATTTACTATAGATTTAAATTTCAACAATGTCTTATACATCTTTCCATTTTTTAATTTTCAAAGGTTTAATCCGAAATATTTCCATTAAATCGCTACCATGATAACAAAGATTCATTTGAGTTAAGTTTTAATATAGCCATCACCATTTTTTTTATTTTAAATGGTTTAATCCCAAATATTTCCATTAAATTGCTACCAAAAAAAAGTTTTAACTTAAATGGTTCCATAGAACTACGTACCTTTTTAAACAAAATGTTATTTTCATTTGTTTATTTGGTTTGTTTATTATCATGGAGCATTTCATAAGAATTAGAAAATTTGCGATTTATTAAGGTAGGTTCGAATGTAATTTTTGTCACCTTTTTTAAAATATTAGCAATTAATGATTTTTTTGATTGTATAAATTATGTTAGTTTTATTATTCGTTAAAAGTACGCAGTCTCTTACGGTATATACTTATTCATTGAAAAGGTATGAATACTATAAGGCCCACTAGTTTCTACCTAACTATCCGTATCTGATAAATAATGGTTTAATCTACAGTAAAATAGAAATAGTATAAAATAAATATGTTACTGAGTTTTTTGAACGACAAAGTGAAAGAAATCTTCCATCTTTTTACCAAAAGTCTGCTGAGACTATCTGTGAGTCTAAATGCATTGTACGTCCAAACCCATTATGAACTTTATTGGATTTAATGAATGACCAAAATAAGTTGGACTTTCATTCATTCGGCTCTTTCTATAAATAAATTAAGGTTTGAATGTCTTTTGTTTAAGCCTGTAATTCTTCCATACGTGCTAATCGATAGTGCGGCCATAAGGTTTTCGTTTTCGTAAAGTCATAAAAGTTCTTGACAGTTCCTAATTTTTTTGGTAGCTGTTAATCTATTTAAATAAAAGTTTGAAAAGGATTACATAAATTGTTATGAATGGTATGTTAAGAACCAAGCGAAGTTCAGAGATCGCCTTAATCAAATTTGCATTATAAACCTAACTACAGATCATTTAAAAGTTATTCATTTAATAGTCATCATTTTAATTATAACCGCGATTTTATTTTGTTACGATGATATAAATGTTTGTTACTGTAAATTAATTAAAAACAACATCATACATTAGCTATAATGTATTTTTGATGAATATGCCGTTTTTTCATATCAAATTTTACGTAAAAATTTTCACTGTGTAAATTTCCTCCATTATAATTCCTTAAAGCAACAAGAAATAACAAGCAATATTTTATTCCGTTTAAGAATACTAATTTCTAAACGCCGGTCGCCGTAGAGAGGCGGATGTTATAAAAAGCAAACGGTAATATCTCCGGGCTGTCATTAATCTGTGTCAACAAGACGTCGAATCTGTAATTAAGAAGTTTATCATAAAGCAAAAAAAATTAAACATTTCGAGCACCCGACCCAAATATCACTAGTAAAGGCGAAGTGCCAGTGGAAGATATAATAATAATTATAAGCTACATACAGGTTTTAATGCTAGCTCCTAGTTCTAGAAGAATCATTGCCTCATACTTAATACATACAAATCTTTCTCTAAAAAAGTTTACTACCTATCACTATTGTAAAACGATAGTAATAGAAATATTAAAATTGTTTAATTTGTTTAGACTGCTTTCAAAACAGATAATAAATATTTACTTCTATAAATGTCTATTTAATATTTTCCATCGTTTCTCTAACAGTGTGGCCACAGTCTTTCCTAATATTATTTTAATTTACGCTCCTTCTCGGCCGTGATGAATACGGCAAAACAAAATGTTAAGATTGCCCACTTAACTCTGCATTGCAGATTTTTCTAAAAATAAGAAAATATAAACTCACTCCAAAGAAGTACGAACGATATCCTTCATATTTTTAAAGCTTGTATTTTAATAATTTAATTTAGGTTATTACTATGAAGGTTCTTCATAAAAAAAATCTCAGCCTAGCCCCGAAGCGGGATATTAATTTTTGGAGCTGTATTTAAGTGAACTTAATTTATTTTTATCGGAACACTGCTTAAGCTTTAAATGATTTTATTAACCTAATGGACACAACAGACTTTACTTCCACCAAAAATATAAATAACATTTTATATTATGATATGTATACATTTAGAAAAGATGAACATTTTGTATGAGGGAGATTAATTTCTTCATACAAATGAGAATATTTATCTAGACTAATTATATCCTTTAGTTTTATAATTGGCGCCAAAATTGTACAACTTTTCATTTTTTTTAAGAGGGGTAATTATCTGTGCTACTGAAGAAATACATTCTACTATTATTGTTTATACGAAAGCTATAGGTATAAGCTGATTTTGCCCCTAAACTATTAAAAGGATGTAGTTGTAACTTTTGAGTAATGAAGCTTAAACATATCATTTATTCAATTTTATGTGGTTTTCTAAAGAACAGGGCGTGAGCCTGTTTGAAGATACATGTGTACGAGTCATAGAATAAGAGTCACAAACTTTAAATTGCGCTGGCAGGTAGTTAGTGTTTATTTAGTGATTATTAACATCTCTCTGAACCCAATTAGAAATTCTAACTGGACAAAGTAGTAGTGGATTAAACACTTAGTATATCTGAAAATACGACATCTCTCAATACGAAAATACAACTATGCAATAGAATTTCTGCACCGGTCTATGTTTTTTAGTAGATAACTATACATACGTATAGTTATCTATCACACTATACGTATATCATACGTATATATTTGTAACTTCAAGTTCTTCTTCATCCTAGAAATTATAGTGAATAGTGATAAAACGATAACATCGGGATAAGATTCAACGAAAGGGACTTAGGTCTTTCTTAACTCTTCCTCATATAATATAAACCTTTAGCAAATCTTTAAAAGTATTTTGCTTTCAGCTTGGTGTATCAACATCTAACCAATGTAAAATATCATGATTTTTTGGATAAGTCTAAGCTCAGAAAGATAGTCTTAGTAGTACTGCCGAGTACTGGATCATTTACTCTCCCATACAAAGTAACGTCATCATAATTCAACTGTCAGATTGAGCTGAGATAGATGTTTTGGAGAATTTTCACTAAACTACAGTAACTGTTCCCGCTATCCGACAAGTAAAGACTATTTCATCCAACAAATCTCATATTCCGCTATAACCAATGTGTTTGACCCCTTAAGATTCTCCTAAAAAGGCCGACACACCAGGGTTTAGGAAATGGTAAATCAAATTCAGTATTGTAATAATGACCATAATTATTATCTTGACAGCTTGCAGCGACTGTAAAGGTAATGGCCATTGACCATAGATAATACACTGTATTAGACAATGACTTAAGATATAATAAATAATAATGACTTTTAAACCATCAAAAAACAAAAAAATGACCAATATGCCATTTATAATATTTTAAACAAATATACAATTTTATTACAATAATTGAAATGGATTTGGAATTCGGAATTAATTATTCAAGGAAATTATCGTGATGTACAATAATAGATCTGGTATCAACAGGCAGCGCCATCTATGATCTGTATTAGTTGTTTTCTTAAAGAAAATCAACTGATATACCAAGAACACCCAACTATGAGAGAAATAATAGAGAGAAGCTTGGACGGTGGAGGTGAGCGTTTTACGCGTGTTAGATAGGGACCCTTAAACCTACACCTGGGTCACAAGTCCCAGTCACTGTTGAAGCTCCTCTCACTGCAACGATGGACCCGACACACGCACCGTGAATACATGGAATGAGAAGCTTCGTCTTTATACTTCAATAAATTTAATTAAAATCGGTTCATTAGTTTTTACATCAAAGAGTAAGAGTGACATATATAAGCTTTACAATCATATTAGCAATTAACTAGAATCTACTACTGATTGAGTATAGTTCGAATTTGGGGAGTACTTATTATGCATATATTAATGTAGTCAAATTATTTTTGAGAAAAGATTCACCATTAATATGAAAACTACTAATTAATAAAATGCAAATATTACAGAATGGTTGAAATAAAACAAAACACTTTCAAACTATTACATTTAATATGAAACCTAATAACATACCGGCATTATAATTAAATGCAATTCAACTTATTTCATTTTTAAATTTCGTCCATTAACTATATCCAACACTAAATAAAAAAAACTTATTTAACAAAAAAGTATTTATATGTTAATTAAGTTCAAATCAATTCTATTTTGCGATGATTAAAACGTTTTTAATTGAAATAAGTCAAATGCATTAACTATATCTAAACCTTATATTTGTCTGTGAGTTGGTAATTAATTTTCTTATCGATCCCCAGCAGTTGCCTGATGATGAACTCCGGCAGACGTTTGTGTTTCCACCTCGTAGGTAACGGAGTGTGATTGGCTTTCTCTAGTTTACTCGCCACATATTGCTCGGCAGAAAATTCATTAGCCTCTTTCACCATCGCAAAAAGCTCGTTCTGGAAGATCTTCTCTTTCTTGATACGACGATTTTTCTTCACCTGTGGATTTATTTATAAAAAAACATATCAAAATTTATAATACTTGTAGTTTTAATTACCATTTTGATTTATTATTGATATAGTATCAAATATATGATGCAAACATAAAATATAAAATGCATATAGTAACAAATACATGATGGGTTTTAGATAATTTTGCTGTATAAAAATAACATTTCTATAGTAATATCATATTTCTGTGTAATACATGCATAAAATTCTGTTCTATTCTGAACTGATTGACTCTTAATCAAACAATTCAATACAGTATAAAACTCCGAACAGATTGCTGCAGTTAAAAATCAAACTAAAATATACTAGGTACAGTTTTAACATCTCCCATACAATAACTGCTGTCTATGAACACAGTACATTCAAGTATTTTTAAGCATTATGTAATAGTTATTATTGGTATTAATTGATCTTTTGATCGGTTAAAGTAGATATGTGTATAAATTTTTTTGGTAAATTTAATGTGAACAGATATGTATTAATAAAAGAAAATAAAAATATACTCTTCTAATGACCAGTTATTGCTGATACTCTAATCTTATTTTAGTAGACTAAGTCCTTTTGCAAATAATATGCTATGTTACGAAGAAAATTGTTTCAAATAGCTTCAGTGTAGTTTTAGCTAATATTTATCACATTACCAATATTTTTTCAAGGATATGCTACATGTGGCTGATACATTTTCATCAAAAAATCCACTACATACTATAATATATTGTATTTAAACAGTAAACGGAGCCCTGAATTCATTTCATATCTGTAATAATAACTATAGCCCTCACATGTAATATTAGATGTTATTCAAACTTTTTCTCTCATACTGACCCTTGCCCAGCGATGCCTCATTCTTTTCCACAACTTATTTCTCTGATGTTTCTTCATCTTTCTCCTTCTAATTACAATCAACCTCACGGCATGCTTTTCTTCTTTTTCAAGAGCCGGTAAACCAATCTCATCCTTTTTCCATTCATTATCAATCAGTGGCAAAATCGATCTTGGGTTTACTATTGGTATATAGGTAATGGGATCCTGATGTTTCTTACTCGGTGCATCGTTTATACCAAAGTTAATACTACGCGGAGTAAAGTTTACGACTCTAGCTTTCGATATAATATCCTGTGGTTCTTTAAGTACTGGCAACGTTTTGCATTCTTTCAGCGTATTTAATGCTGTCTTTAAATTTACCAGCCTTAGATCTGTAAAGTTTCATAAATTCATGTGTTATTTAATACATGGTTGAACTAAATAATCACCTAGTTAGGTTATATTGTCGACTTACATTTAACAGAGTTCTGCAAAGAGTTCATCATTTTGACCTTTCAATAGGAATATAATATACAAACATTATATTCTTGTCTGTTTGTATTAATATTGTGTCCACATTAGTAGAATTGTTATCGGTTCTAATCTTACAAAAATTGAAATAGCTAATACTTTATACTTATAGTACAATAGACATTAGACAGATGACAGTTAAGACACTGACATTTTTTTGGTTATGTTCGTTCCGTTCAGAACAGGCAAAGAGAACAAAGCCCAGTCTTTTGTGTTTTGTATCTTTAATTATATTTTAAATATATTATCTTCTTTTTTATTCTTGACTCAAGTTTTATATCAGGCCTTAGCCATGTCTTGTTTTAATTTTCTTCTTAAATCATTTTTTTAATTATAAGGTCGACGCCATGTCTTCTTTTAATTTTTCTTCTTGAATCATTTTTTAATTATAAGGCCGACGCAGTGTCCTTATTTATTTATTTTTTTTGTCAAAATCTTGTTTTTTTTTTACATTCCGTCTTTTTTCAATGTCAAGTCCTTGTAATGTCATTTTTGAAGCTGAAAAACAAATATCTTAAACAAAACGAAAAAATTAGTATTATTTACATAATATGTACATATAACAATTAGATTTCATTTACAGTAGAAACAATAAAGCCATAAACTGGCAAGAAGCATTCTTGAATTGCTGAAGGGAGCGCGGGATATCTTCAGCAGTTTTAAAAATACTTAAAAGTTGGTCTATAAGGACCATCCTTAGAATACTAAAGTGTGGACAGTTAAAAAATATATGTTCGAGGGTTTCATCGGCAGTATTGCAATATCTACAAGTTGAAGAGTCAAAAACACCAATCCTAAAAAGGTGAGCACCAAAACTACAATGTCCCAGACGCAAACGACAGATTGTGGTATAATACTTTCTATGGCTATAGTATCTACCCCAGTTAAACCAGGGAGAACAGACCTTTTTCTTTCTTGTAGCAAACCATTTTCCTTTTACCTTTACCACCTGTTGCCATAAGTTGTAAAATTCTTTCTGTAACTTGAGTTTGAAGAGGGATAGAGCGTCTGAATAAGGAATTGGGAAATTTAAAAAGCTATGACTTAACTGATTGTGGGCGGGATTTATAATAAATTTAGCTAAATAGTCTGCTTGCTCATTACCATGCACGCCAATGTGGGCTGGTCTCCAGAATAGGATTATTTGCTTGTTTTGAGACAGCAGGTGATACAACTCTCTTATTTTATATATAATATAGTTAGTTTTTGAATTTAATTGTGGATTTTGCATTGTCGTTAATAAACTTTAACTATCCATTATTATAATCCACTTTGGATGAGTCTGTGTTTGAATGTGCTCCATAGACAGCTATGGATTGAGCAGAGTATATGCTTGTGAGTGGATTCAGCCTATGACTAAATCCACTTTTGATCTGACTATCATAGACAGCTATAGAGACTGCTTCATTGTTCCTAGACCCATCTGTATATATCTGATGATATCCCTGCCACCTATCAAGTTCCCTATAAATGTCTTCCTTATACTTTAGAAGACTTGACTACAATTTTAATCTGCATAAATTTTGATTCATATAACCCAGAGTAACAAGGCCATACCATGCTAGAAAAAATACTGTGTTTATTAAAAATTTGTTCTGTTTCAGAAAAACTGTGAAACAAATATGAATTAATATTGGCAGTCCTGTTAATAGTGTCCCGCAGTTTAACAAGAAGTGGATGATTACTGACGGAGAGCAACCTTGCATAAAATTTTGGTTGTAAGTATTTAAACCTAAGTGTTAATGGAGGTATATTTAATATTACATTCCACCTGCATTGACACTATAGGAGTAGTTCGCATGGGACCCATTATAATACGCAAACATTTATTCTGTATCTTTTCTAATTTATCTACTATAGTTCTTACCCCTGCAAAACAAAAAAAAGCATATTCAAAATGACTCCTTACAAATGATTTATACAATGTTAATAGAATCCCTGGATCAGCACCCCAGTATGTGCCTGTTAAAGATTTTAAAACATTACAAGCATTTAAAGCTCGAGATTCTAGAGTTTCAGCATACTTATTTTAAAAACTTTACAGAGCTTTCTACAGACACTACATTATTATTGAACAAAATATTTACATTCCTATTTCTAATTCCATTTTTTGAAAAGACAACAACTTTACTTTTTTCATTGCTGACCTCCAGCCCAAGGCTATCAAAATAGTTCTTTAGTCTTTGGAGAGCAACATTGAGGACTGATTGTACACGTAAAAAATTAGTATCAGAGCAATAAACAACTAAATCATCTGCAAACTGCAGATTAGAAACTTCACACCCCAGAGTTAAATTTAGCTTATGTATGAATAATAACAATATCTCGTATCACAATCCTATCGGACGTATGTGTCGCGCTTACAATAGGGTCTCTTTTGAGGACGACGGGTTGGATAGTATCGACGTTTTCAACAGAAACCTAAAGCTATTTAAAAAACGATTGGTTTCGGTTAACAGCCAGGAATAGGGAAGGAATCTATATTATTTGTTTATTTTTTATTTTTCATTATTTTTCATTTGTAAGTGTGTTGTGTTACGTATTTTTGAGTGCTGATTTGTTTTTTTTTTTTCTTTTTTTATAAGTGAGATACTTTGTATATAATCTGTGTTCGCATAATTGTTGGATTGCAACTCAGTTCATTTATAATGTTTGCTCATTAATTATTCGCATATTTAGTTGTAATCTGTTGTGTGAACCGTTCAAAATAAATAAAATAAATAGGATAAAAAGCAATGGGCTCAATAAACCACCCTGTGATACACCCCTACAAGAATATCTTGGACCAAATAACTGATTGTTGACCTTAACAAACACTTTTCTGTAGTTCAAAAAATTAAAAATCCAATTTACAACTTTTCCAGGTACCTGTAGTAATAATAATATGGAGGATAATTTGTTGAGATCTACATTATTGAAAGCCCCTACATTGTCAAGAAAAACACCAACTAGTACTTTATTCTCGGAATGAGTATCGTGGATATCCAGACAGAAATGATGTAGACTCTCACAAGCAGAACGGCCACAATGAAAGCCAAACTGATTGTAAGGTAAAAGATTATTTTTTTCCAACACATGAATTCAGTGTAATAGGACGATAAGAATCAGCCAAATTAAAGTCTTTGCCAGGTTTTAATATTGGTACCAAACAGTCAGTTTTCCAATCCTCTGGGATAATAGAAGACGGCCATAAACTATTTAATAAATTTAAAAAAATAGAGTTTGAAAATTTAAAAGTTTAAACATTATGTAGGAAAGCCAATCCAGGCCACATGAAGAATCTTTTCTTGAGGCTAAAGCAGATTTTAACTCTTGCATAGTAAAACAACCGATCATGTATGAGTTATCACTATTTACTCCAAGAACATTATCTATACTTATCTGTTGTGAAACAGTATCCGGTGTGTATTTATATCAATATGTTTGCACCCAATTGAGGTCAGAAAATAAGTTGGAACTCGGAAAGCTTGTTTTGAATTTTCTTATTTTAGTCCAAATGCGATTTATCGATGTCAAACGATTTATTGATGAGCAGAATTCAGACCAACTTTTACAACGTTCTTCTTTTAAAGTGCGTTTTTTAAAGGCTTGTGCGCGTTTGAAATTAATGTAATTTTTACTATTAAGACTCGTTTTGAAATTAATGTAGGCGTTCTTGCAATCTTCTACTACTTTTGAACATTTATCATTCCACCAAGGTACTTGACACCTTTTTCTAGGACGGTTATTATTACTATCAGTTGTGTTGTGGTTTAAGCTGGGCCTGGAGAATTTGATTGCCAATAGAATAATTGAACAAAAGTTTCTGTATGAGTCAAGGAGATCACTATTGTCAACTTTAAAGTTCATTAACATTTTATTAACAATTTGTTCATAACTATCCCAATTTACTAATTTCAGATTGCTGTGAAAAGGAATGTTGTTCAAGGAAATAGAGGGCTCATGTTGATCTGTTACGAGAGGAAATTTTGTGATAGTTGGCAGATGATAACTGCCTAAAGGGTCCTGATGAACTTGCCAGTCACAAGAAATAAATAAAGAAGAAGACACCATAGTTAAATCTAGACTGTTTGGTTTCCAAATATGAGAGCCTATAGTTGTTGGTTGACCATTATTTAAAAGTATTAAGTCATTCTCATCCATGGAATCCATAATAGCTCTGCCCCGAGAATCTACGCCACTGCAACCCCAAAAAGTATGATGGGCGTTAAAATCACCTGCAATTATCAACGGTTTTGGAATACTGTACAATAAACGATCGAACTTCGCCCTTTCAAAAGCAGGAGAACTATTACCAGGACTGTAAAAACTAACCAAAGAAATGCATTTATGTTTAAGTTTAATAACAATTACTACATTTTGTAACGAATCATCATAAAAAGCATCTAGTTTAGATAAATGTATACCATTTTTAATTAATATTGCTACGCCATCATGATCATTACCGCAGTCATTCCTAATAATGGTATAACCACGTAAATTAAATTGAATGCTAGGCTTGAGCCAAGTTTCTGAAATAAGAGCTACATGTATATTATTTTGGTATAGAAAATTTTGAAACTCAAGTCTGTTACTTAACAGACGTTGAGCGTTCCACTGTACAATATTTAAGATTTGGTGGTTGAATGTGACGATTTGCTATTTTTGTCCTGGATGGTTTCTTTAATAGCTGAGCTAATAAATTGTGAACTAATACTTATAAATAACAAAATACCGAATGAAATAAAAGATTTAACTTATGTAAAATTTAAAAAACTTTTGTTTTCTTTACTAGTCAACAAGTGTTATTACTCCGTAAATGATTTTCTAATGGACAAGACATAATTTTGTAAGAAATTGATGAATAAAAAATGTATAAAATATATAACTTAATCATCTATCTATCTATCATTTTTTATTTTACATCTGTAAAACATTTGAATTTATTATTATAATTGCATTGTTAATTTAATTTCTAATTTTTATTGAATAGTTAATTTTAATTTATTATTTAAACCACTATCACTCATTCCTTATTAAAAAAGATAATATTATTACCTATTCAATAACAGATGAATCATGTAAATCGATGTAGAAATACCTAAGTTATGTATGAAATAATAAGTAATCGCGCGTGAATACAGAGTCATACTATAAGGATTATTTTCGTGTATCGGTTGCCGGTTAACATCGACTTCGTATATAATTTCAATGTATTAACTATTTCCGCTAATTAAACAAATATTGAGTGAAAATAAATATACAAAAAGTCAAGGATTATATAATATTTTGAAGTTAATTATGTCGACTACAGCCGGAGGTTATAAACATAACAAGTTTCAGAGAAAAACTAACAAAAAGTGCTTTAAAACAACAATAATACGAAACCATATTACATCAAAAATTAACGACTCTCTCGGTGTTAACTAGGAGACTTAATAATTAGCAGTGAATTGAAACCTAAGTTTTTAATTCTGCATTCCACAAATTGTGCCTTTTCTACTTTAATAAATTATTGATTCCGACAACGTAAAAACAAAGAAATCAACAATACGTAAAGTCGTGTTCGATTATATTTTTTCCAAAAAGCGCCATCTCACGGCCACTGTCTAAAACAAATAGTCGCTTAGTACAAATCGATCATCGGACTCACCAAACATCAATACTACCGAAGCAAGTAATTTCACCAACAACTACAAGAGGGCACCACGAGTATCAAAACAATATATGTAATCTAACGAACATGGAAGAAATTTTAGACGCACTAAAAACAATAAAGAATTAATTTCCAATATTATATTTCCAATAATTCAAAATATTAGTACTAATTTTTTTTTAGATAAGTTTTCAACAATAGAAAATAATCATCAAAACTTGAAAGAAAAAGTGGAAAGTCAAAGAAAAGGCTACAAGTTTTAGAAAAACAGGCAAAACAATATATAATTTGCTATTTTTTGGTACAGAAAAGAATGAACAGTCCTCTGCAAGTTTAGAAAAATCTTTAACATTAGGATGGAACAGTATCTATCTGTAAAAATAAACTAAAACGACATTCAGGAAATCAAAAGAATAGGAATTAAAAAAACATGAAAAATTACGCCCAATAGTAGTGACTTTTTCAAATCCTAGGCAAAAAATAAAAATTATGTAACAGAAAAGTGCACTAAAAGATACACAATACTATATTAAAGAAGACTATCCAAAATACGTACTTGAAAAGAGTAGAGACCTGCAGGAACAACAACAATTGGAAAAAGAAAAACCAAATTTAGCAAAAACAAAATACGATAAACTAATAATATTAAAAAACACTAAATGCAAATTGCCCCCCTCACCCGAATCAGGAAAAACAACGAATATAGAGACAAATTCACAAATAAATAAAAATAATAAGCTACAGCAATTAAGCGAACCGCCCAAAAGAGGTCAAGTAGTTTTTCATAGGAAATAATAATACAAGGAATATTAAACACAGCAGTAAAAAATACTGCAAATAAAAACAACATTCAAAATAAACAAACATAGCAACTAAACGCCTCTTCCTCCTATAAAACAACGAATAGGAATTTAAGAATAATTCATAATCTTCCAAATAAAAATAATCCTCCAGTTGGGTTGGTCACCATGGAGGATCACGACCATAACCCACCAAAGAAAACCAGAATCACAAATAATAATAATACCTTGATAAATCACCAACTAGAACCGAGCAGCAGCAGATTAAAAAAAAAGAAAATACTGGAAAACAAAAACCGATGATAGGGATAAATGGAAATCTATGGAGGAGGCCTTCACACTCACATAGGGGTTCATACATGTTAACGACATAAAACTAATAATAAGGAGTATGATTACTTTGCTAGCTAATTAATAATTTATAATATAAAACATAAATAAATAAATAATAATAAATAAATTAATAATAAAAAAAAAACAAAAAAATGAAAATAATAAAATTATATTAGAAAATATTCTAACAAAATTTATAAATAAAAATATAATATGAATTGTAACTGTATAATTGTAATGTTAATAAGTAATGCAATGGAGTTATTATTCGAATTATTAAGAGCTTAATACTTAATTTAACAATCAAACACAACAGAATGAATTGTATAATCTAGAATAAAATAAAAATAATAACGCATAGAAAAATTAACAAATTATAAAGATAATACAAAAACACAGAACACAAATAGCATTTACAATTATATAGTGAAATATGAATTGCAATGAATTATTGATGTATTGATAATGATTATACATGAAATAAAAGGTAAAAGTAAGATAGCTTCAGTTACCGCCGTTAAAAAATACACAATGCTACCTAAAAAACGACCATCTTTATCTCGAAATTAGAGAGATGCTAAAATGATGAGAAATGCGCTTTCTCAAGAATCGGCACAGGAGAGAGCACATCAGTTAAACTCTATGAGAGTCAGTGCCTCAAACTCTCGAGCCAATGAAAGCTCTCCAGAGACAGAGATGCGATTAGCAGCTGTCAGAGCGAGACGAGCTACATCACGGGCGTCTCAAAGAGAGCTGAGGCTTGCCATTGACCAAGAACAACATTTGTTATTCTGAGATGCTGAAACTGCGTCACAACGAAATCGCTTCTCACAGCTGACCGCGAACGTCATATATTGTCTCAGGAGTCAGAAACCTATACTGAGAAGGAATTGCGTCTCACAGCTGACGACGAAAATCATATTTTATCTCGAGAATCTGAAACTTTTACTCGATATGAAGACCGTTTGACAAATAATAGGGTGCTCCATAATATTATTCGATCTCTCAAAGTTGAACATGGGCATGAACAACGACTAGAGTTGGTACGCGAATATTACAATTCTTTGAGACAAGAACGATTAGTAAGTTTGTCTATTGAAAGATTAAGAATCGAAAATAGTCGGTCTAATGCAAAGGACGAACAGCGAGAGGCCCATCTTACTGCAGAGTGATTACGACATAGACTTAATAACTTAGATGTACATATAGAAGATCAATCTAGAAATTCGGTGGCGTGGTCCGACAAATATAAAAGTGCATTTGCTTAGAAGCAAACCTCACAATTGATTACAGATCATCATCTGTAATAGGCTATATGAACATGGTATGTCGTTTTTGTAACGTTTCAAAGTGGAGTAAGGAATCAGCTGGTTTCTGTTTTTCTGCAGGTAAAATAAATTTGCTTTCATTCGAAGACCCACGGAACCTTTGAAATTACAACTTTCAGGGGAACTTATAAAATCTAAACAGTTTTAAGATAATATTCGCACTTATAATAGTGTATTTCAAATGACATCCTTTGGCGCTCAACACATCTTAGAAGGTCCTTTCATGCCTACTTTAAGTTACAATGTCAGGTTTACTATTTAAAAGGACGCAATTCCCAGTATCGGTATGTTATGCAATGACAATTAACAAGGCTCAAGGCTTTTCGTGTTGCTGGAGTAGATCTCAGTGTCAGTTGTTTCTCGCGTGGTCAGTTGTATGTTGCTCTTTCTCGTGTTAACAATTCTAAAAATGTTTATGTTCGCGTGCCAGACGGGTCAACTTTTAGTATAGTTTACTCGGAAGCTTTGCACTGAAGTATTTTTGTTCTATACATACCTTTACCTTACCTTTATAAGGCAGTGGTGCTTATATTGCCACCAGAAGTTGAACCTTAACACATTATTATAAAGTTTGAAACCAACAAATATTTTTAAGTTTTGTGTCTTATAAAGGGTTATGCCACATGTGAACGTGATCTAAACAATATTACCAACATAAATAATAATAATAAATATTACCAATACATTAACTTAATACACAAGGAGTTACACGCTGACGGAGAGGCGAGCACAGCTATCTATACTTTTGTGCCGGAAGTCACTATTCCACGCGGAAGAATTCGCGGGCAAAAGCTAGTATAGTATAAAACTATTTAAAATAATTAAAATTTTCAAAAAGCCCGCGTCAACGTTTCAATTCCCGCGCTCTTTTTTCCTGGCAATTGACAAATGTCTTAGGGACCTAGGTATAACAGAGTAAAATTTGTAAATTAATTTAATATGATAATTTTAAACTGTACAGTTTTTCAACAAAGTTCTACTTCTAATTGATTTAACATATTATATTGATAATTATTATTATTAAATTTTCTTTGCCCGCACAAACAAAATAAATAAATTACGGGACCCTTTCAAACAGCCGTTTATTCCATCTCCTTGTTGTTTTCACACAGAATACTCAAAATTTTTAATACATTGGCACAATAGGTACATAAATATAATGTGATATCGACATCAACAAAAAATTCGTGAGTGAATGAAGCGATAGCATCATTATATACTGTATTGTTTCTAATTTTTCTTTACATAATGGATTTGCAAATCAAAAATATGATTTAGGACTGGTATACTTTTTGCTAAAAAATGCTAACAATATACCTACAGTTCACAGAGAATCAAATAAATGATTGAATCGTTTTTATAGAGAAGAATCTTTATAAGTTTTGTTAGTTAAAAAAAATTCGTATTGAATCATATCTTGAAAGTCAAAAACAAGAAAGAGTTATATGTATTGTATTGGTAAATTTAACTAAACTACAAGTTGTAATGTACTTACTAAATTTTACTACGTTTAGCTTATTAATTAAGATTTCTCTTATGAATTTTAATTTCTATATCCAATTTAGTTACAATCAATATAGTTTATAAACCGTTATTCATTGTAGTAACAGTATTGAAAAACAATTTTAACAACCGTTATTAAAAAGCCTTTGCTTTGGACCTGAATTTTTATACTTTTTGTTTTATTTTTTCTACTACTTAACAGTCCATACTTTTGAAATTAACTAATTACCCCTAATGGCTATGTATAATTATTAATTTTAGCGTTAGATGGCACTATCGAGGGTTTATTGAATGTAATTGAAACCAGGAATTAACAATCATATATAATTCTCTTTCTAAATAACTTTATTATTATAAGACTATCGTCTAAATATTTCCTGATCGATTGGTACAACACCAATATCACCAACGACGGCTATAGCCATTTGACGACCTGAAAAGATAATCAGGTTTTAACAATTCTTGCGTAAAGAATTTTTACTGACATAAATTGCCCAAAAACAAACTAACATTTGGAGGCCAATGCTTTGGCTGTTGCTGAAACTTCGTCGGAACATATTCCTTCTATAATCTTTGCAGAATTTTCGGCGCAGTCTATCTGACTGTTGTATAGAGACTGCAACGCCAGGCCTTCGCATATCCTGACACAGTCTTCATCGTGGATAGCAAGATTGAGTACTAACAAGGAGTAATTCATTAGTTTGTATCAATCCCAAAAATAACTAATTTTTATTTTAATGTTACAATAATTCTCTTGTATATTTAGGTTGTTTGTACTAACAAAGTCTCTTCTTCCCTTCGTCGATTTGTGTAAGACTGAGTTCACCAATACGAGCGAGGAACTCAGCTATCATCAAAGATATCTTATGGGCGGAGCATGAAGATGTCTTTGCTATGATACCTTTAATTTGAATACATCGTTGTAACGTCATGAGATCTAAGACTTTCGCGAGTATTAATTGTAATAAAACTAATATTTTTTTATTACTACAGGCTATTTTATTACTTTAAAAACTACACAGACGTCTCGTCTGCATGTGATCACGGTTGCTGCAAAGTAAACTAATCGTCGGGATTATGTAGTTTTTAAAATAATAAAATACGCGTATGTAGTAATCCGAAAAATATTAGTTTCATTTTCTTATATCATTTTAAATTTTTAGACAAGATTTACCAAGCTCAAAGCTAACCAAATAATCCAGTATCAATGTATGATATGTTAAAAGCTCTGCAATCTGTGTGTACATCTTTGTCACTTATCAGGCCCAGAGGTGATTGAGCTATACGGTCCATCGATGTCATGCCCTCTTGCATGTTCTCTGTGCCGCATGCTGCTGCTATAATTGCGTGCTTGAAGACACTTCTAAAATAGATTTCATATTAATTCAAAGATTTGTAAAGATAAGTAAACAAAAACATCACAACTCACTGGGAATCCCATGCGTCACAGCTTGGAACAGCGACAGCTATCCAGGTGTCACTATTTGGGCCAAGATCGTAGTATTCATAACCCATTCGCGGGGAAACCTTATGGCTCTTTGGCAAATGGACTTCCTAAAAAAATAATCAGTTGATTTCATATTTAATATGTTTACTCGCAATATATAGGTACTTACGCTGGTTTTTTCTATCTTTTCAGCAATCTTCATAGTTTCCTCAAACGGAACTCCAACACTTGCTACACTACACATAGAAGGGATATAGTTCATTGATACGTAATTCCTCAGCTTTTCTCCGTCCATGCTGTCAATTCTTTCTTCTTCACAGTATACAGAATTTGCCAACGAGCCAGCCCAGGCCGCTTTTTGTATTAAATCAAAGACCTTCTGCTCTGGATGGATCCTACTAAGGTCACCTCTCACAATCGGCTTGAGATCCGATATTTCCCAATCATGGTAGCAGCAACTGTTTTGGCGTAAAACTTGAGTTGAAATTTTATTCTAGTATTATATCTATGAAACAAACAGTGATTAAAGTAATCAAAATTTAGACAGACGAAACTTTTTAGCATTCAATGTATTCACGGTAGGGGTGCCGGGTCCATAGTTACAGGGAGAAGAGCTTCTACAGTGATAGGGATTTGCGATCCAGGTGTAGGTTTAAAGGTCTATCTAACGCGCGTTAAACGCTCACTTCCGCAGTCCACTGTCCAAGCTCCTCTCTCTACCTAACCAAATTTGTAAAGAGCCTACTCGGGCTGTCTTCGAAGAATGAATTGATAAATAATTCGTTTTGGACAGATTGTTTCAAGAATCTATTTTTATATATATGAAATATGTGTTCTTACTCCACTGCTGTGTCCAATAAATAATATTTGAGATCACGAAACATATGGAGTGGACATCGCAAAGTGTAGGCAATCGTTTGCCTGTCCAAGGTTGTAGTTATATATGCTCCAGCCTGCTGTAATACTCTGAGTTTGGAAAACGCTGTTGCCCTACATCCGCCGCCTGTTGAAGCCAAGCGCAGGAAGTGAGTAGCTCCCAAATCATCATGAGTCTCGTAACGAGAACCAGCCTTTAATTTAATTATGATTATTAGATTCTTTTAGGTTAGTATATTTAAACATTAAAGTAAGCTATCCCAGTCATAATAGATTATTTTAGGGAGTTAGAAGAGTGTGTAGAACGTAAATATATGATAGTGTAATTTTATCTTATGGGTAACGCTCACTAAACTTATGGAATATTGAACAATTTCTAATACTACATTGGTATTCATATAATAATGAGACTAGCTTTAAAAAATAAATGAAAAAAAAATTGCTGAGTATTTTTAGCAAAAGACGGAACATAGAGAAACGTTACATGTGTGTAAAGTTTTAACTGTTCAAACCTGAAACATGATAGTGCACGCTGCTAACAAAAAGTCTGTATCTTGAGCAGAGGTTATCTTAATCCCATTTTTCATTTCCGATTTCATTATACTCGTCGGACCAAACCTCGGCTTGACCATTACTGACCTCACACTGTTGATAGTGGAACTCCTCAGGCTTTGAGGAATTTGTTTAGCAAATCTCTTCATTATTAAAAGTAGTAATTATGTAAATTATTTAATATATTATGAAAACTGTTATTATATAAACTATGTAACCATTTACTTCAGTTTTGACATTAAATATAATAAGGAGGTTTTATGAGTTAGTTGAATGGTGACTTAAACTTTGTACCTCTTTTAATAATTACTTATTATGAAATACCTGTTATAAGGTGCTTAAAATGAAGAAGTTCGCAAACAAATTTCAGTCTCGTTTAAGTAAATCGAGGCTTTTAAAGTGAGGCATAGCTCCTAGTGTTGATCCATTAATCTTTGGCTCACATAGAAATAGTCATATTTTCAGATTCAGTCATTTGTGCTCTTTGCTAATCGAAGGGATTCAGTTGTGGAGTAATTTTGTATTTCAGTGTCTTAAGGCTACATAAATAACAACAAGCGACGTTAACATCAATATAAGTCTATGATTGGTAATCGCTACGTTACCAAAAAATATTTAATACTCAACTTAAAATCCATCGTGAAGTGTGACGATACAAACTTTTGCTAAGCCTTAATTTGGGAATTGTGGAATTTAGCCATACTAATAGATTGGGCTGTCAAATTCAATTTGAACCCTAAAATTTTTTAACTGGCTGTAATTATTACACACAACAGAGCAGTGTCCAAAAAATTATGTTCAATGTTACTCAAACATGTTATAACAGATATCGTATTATTTATGTAACTGAGTTATACAAGTATTGAAACAGGTAGTGACTAAAATATAATGCATTAATTACTGTGATATAATTGAACCTATAACAAATATTGTAAAGAAACTTACGGACAATGTATCAACTAATATAGCTTGAAGAATATTAACTTAAACAAATGATTATATTTTATAGCATGAACGTATCTTATGTGTGGAGATTATTCTTGGATTATCTTTGTTTGATAACGACGCTAAGATCACAGGATCGTCGAGGGTGTACTGATATTGGAAATAAAGTACAAATAAAACAGTTTGCCAACTTTATAATATTGAGGTTTTGTTAAAAATAAAGTCTAGTTTACATATTTTATATATGTTATATAAACTAAATATTATTAATAATATTTAGTTTAAAATCAAAAATAAAAATCGCTTAGTAAATCCGAAAATATAGTTTCATTTATAATTGATAAATGTTTGGAAGTAGAGTCCACCTGGTTTTTTTTGAAAAATATTGTAAATTTATTTAAAAAAAGTTTTTTCCTTCCATTTATTTTTTGGTACAACAAAGAGACCTCCATTGAAAACATGTTTTTTTTAAGCCAAAGTAACAAATGAGCAGACGGCTTATCTGACGGAAGTAGTTCCGACGCCCATGGACATCAGCAAAATACTTTTGCAGATGTCCATGGGTTGCCACCTTTGTTTGAGGAAGAGGGAGAGCAAAGATTGAAGGAAGAGCAGGAAAGGGTGGGAGAAGGGAAAGGGCTACCACTCATTCTATCACTCATAGGACGAAACGCAGCCAAAAATGACTATTTCACGCCGATCTTCTGTGAGAGGATGGTACTTCCCCGATCGAGCCAGCCCATATTCGAACTGCAGTAATTTGACCACAACTAGGCTCTACCACCATATAGGTATATATTTCTTTTATGACCAAAAATAGTCTGGATCCCATTTTTAAACATTTAGCAAACAATAACATCCCTCTATCTTTGTTCGTTTATATGAAAACATACATTACATAATAAATGCCGTAGTTTAGAAAACATGGTCAAGTATTTTTTGGCTAAACTACTCGTTATTGGCAGAATATTATTTTATATTAAAGGAGAGAGAAATTTCATTTCATACGTACCTTTTCCACTGTCTCAATAACGACCATAAATTTCAATTTTTGTAACTAATATTCCAATCAAGTTATCACTTTAATTTAGTTAATCAAAACATCAAATCACAATTTCATTTCTCTTTCCATTTATTTTTTACTCCTTAAAGTTTTGTTTATTATTAAAAGTAACAATAGATTTTGAAAATATGCTTTTTTATTAAATTGTAGCCACGCTAATATTTACAAAGTAGTTAACATCATAAGTACTGATACGTCTAATTACTATTTAATGAACGCAATAAATACGAACAATTCTTACTTAAACTACCATTAAATAAGACACATTTCATGAAGTTGAACTGTAAATGTTCTCATAAGTGGTGGGAATAAATAATAATAAATTGTTAGGGAATACTGAAAAATGAGTTTAAAATACAAAGATGGGCTTGAGTACAGTACGATCATGGACAATAAAGACATACTAGCTCATTTTCGTCAAAGATTCTATGTTAAAGAAGACAATATCTATATGTGCGGTAACTCCCTGGGACTCGCGTCTAAGGATGCCGAAAAGTGTATTTTAAACGCTATCGAGAAATGGAAAACACATGGAGTTCAGATGTGGAATGTAGATAGACATAAATACTATGAACATTCGAAGCGTTTGGGAGGACTAATGGCCAAATTAGTGGGAGCGGATTCTGATGAAGTCACAGTGACAGGATCCACCACAGTTAATATCCATCAAGCAATCGCTACCTTCTATAAACCCACGAAAAAAAGATTTAAAATACTCGTCGATGACACGAATTTCCCCACAGACAGATACGCGGTCGACAGTCAGGTCATCTTGAAAGGATTCACACCAAAAGATGCCGTCAAAATCGTGAAGGCCAAAGGAAGATACGTTTTAGAAGAAGACGTAATTAGTGCCATGACAGAGGAAGTAGCCCTAGTACTATTACCAGCTGTATATTATAACACAGCACAGTTATTAGATATGAGAAGGATCAGTTACGCCGCAAAGGAAAAAGGAATACTTGTAGGGTGGGATTTAAGTCACGCTGTGGGTTGTACAGACATCGATTTGAAGTGTTTAGACGTGGATTTTGCTGTTTGGTGTACTTACAAATATCTTAACGGCGGTCCTGGTTCTCCCGCCGGGTTGTACATTAATAGGAAACATTTCAACTTAGTCCCAGGCTTGGCTGGGTGGTGGGGGAATAAGATCGAAACACAATTCCTATTACGACAACAGTTTGAGCATAGAAAGGACGCGGGCGGCTGGCAAATTGGGACGCCGCACTTACTATCTATGGCCGGCTTAGAAGGTTCGCTGAAAATGTTTCTAGAGGCGGGTATGAGTAATATTAGGAAAAAATCACTGGAAATAACAGGTTATTTGATATTCCTGGTAGAAACTAAACTATCAGCATTTGGTTTTACGATCGGCTCTCCAAGAGAAGAAAATAGGAGAGGCGGCCATGTGTGTGTGGAACATGAACAAGCTTATAGAATATCTTTAGCTCTGAAAACTCGTGGAGTAACTTCTGATTTCAGAGAACCAAATATCTTACGATTTACACCAGCTGCTCTGTATATCAGTTATGAAGATGTTTATAAGATGGTTGACATCTTGATGGACATAGCCAAAAACGAAACCTATAAAAAAATAACCCCCAAAAGGAACATGGTGTTGTGAACAAATAAAACATCTGAATCGGTTTACATTATATTTTATTTCGAAAATAGGCTTAGACTATTTGAATTTTAGTCGCAACGTGATACGCAGCGTTCGGACGAGAAATTTATTAAAATCCCGAGAAAAACTATTAATCGATCACTTTGCAACCTCACGTTATATAAATAGAGAAAAAAAAAATTAAAACCAAAATATTACAGAATGTCGCTAAACGGATATTTTGTAACTTAAACAGATAACGAATATCGACTAATCTATTGAACCTTAACTATATACTAAGCTCTCTATTATTTACAGTAATTTACATCACAAGCTATGTTGTATGGTTCATCGAAGATTTTGACCGATTTCCAATGAATTTATTCAAATTTTTTGCCATTTTTTATTATTTTATTATTATAAACAACATTAAAATATCCACACAAGTTAGTTCACGGTCGATTTAACGTTCGATAACCAAGGAGATCTATCCCTGTCCCGGCCAACTCTTCGTATATACAGGGTCTTTCTGTCTCATATCATTCATACAGGGTGTTGTCTGTATATGTCCACATGTATTGAAAGTCTCTCGTGTAGTTATTGATAGTTATGTTATTTTAATATTATGTATCGTGTCACAGAGCACACGAGTGGCTCTCAGACTCAGCATCCGACTTCATCTCCTGCAATATGAGATAAAATTATCATTAAAATGAGGAATTACTATAAATAAAAACAACACTATGAGTGAGTGGTATTAAATGAGGTTTTACTGTGGATATGGATTTATGGATATACAATACTGTTTCAATAAAATGAACAGCACTATGTGTAAATATATATGAAAAATAATAAGCCATATGGTATAACATGAAACATGTGTCTACTCCCTACCGCTGTCTACTGTATGGTGAGTGAGTGAGTGAGCGAGTTACTAACATGTATTCTCATTGAGTATTCGTTTTTAGAGCGAGGCCATTCAACAGGTCTCACACATTCCTGGGAACATTTGTAACATATATGTTATTATTACTATCGTGTGGGAGACTGTTTGTTGTCAGATAGATGGTTTTCCTTGTCAGAACGCTAGTTGTATATATATATATATATATGTGTGTGTGTGTGTGAGTGTTTGTGTGTGTATGTGTGTGCGTGTCTCCTCACACTAGCCCACGTGAGTCCCGAGCGTCTCCTGTGCGTGCGTGTGTGTGTGTGTCTACGTACAGTTTGAGAGTCGCACCGAGCTCCAGGGTTGCCTCTCCCTCTCCCTCCTCCTCACAGTGGGCGGCTCCGCTCGCTGCACGCAGCCCTCGTGTATGTGTACACACGTGATGTCTGACCCGGGGATCTCGAACATCACCTCCAGTAACAGGTTCTCCTGCAAAATGTACATACAGATATAGAAACAAATAGAAAACTTATATAATTGATTATAGTTTTCACTATGTATATTCCAAGGATGAAGATATTACGTTTATTTCTGTAACCTATAAACTGTTTTGTGCTTTGGATATCCGTGAATATCTATATACTGATTTATTTTATGACAAGCAACAGAATAACAAGAATTAATGATGATTGTAAGAAGTGACGACTTATGTAAATGGAATAATATCCAGACAAAAGTTTGTTAAAAGAATATATAGTATATAAATAGATATATATAGTAAGTCTGTGTCAGGTGACTATAAAACAACACGAAATTTTGAAATAAATAATAGACTATGTCTACGTCTAAATTGCAAGCTATGAAACTGTAGTAATTTAACAAAATATTTTAAGTAGTTTTGCGTGAATGAGCAACAAACATCTACACATCCTCACAAACTTTTCTCATCAATAACAGCTAAGCTAAGATAAGTTGTAACAGCTAAATCTCTCTAGAACCTACTAAAGACTTGGGCCTGTTTAAAACTAACATCAATTTATTTTTCGTCCAAGGCACCTAAGTAGGTTTGTTTCAAATTTGGTTAAATAGAGAGAGGAGCTTGTACAGTGGAATTGAGCCTTTAACGCGCGTTAAATGGAACTCTAAACCTACATCTAGGTCACAAGTCCCAATCACTGTTGAAGCTCCTCTCACTACAACGATGGACCCGACCCACGCACCGTGAATACATTGAATGCTAAGTGTCGTCTCTAGTAGGTCATATAATGATGTATATCCTACTAATATTATAATTGCGAAAGTTTGTGATTGTGTGTATGTTTGTTACTTCTTCACGCTCAAACGGCTGAACCGATTTTGATAAAATTTTGTATACAGGAAGCTGACATCCAGGAATAACACATAGGCTACTTTACATTCCGGTAATCCACGGGTAACAGCGCGGGGCACAGCTAGTATTACCATAATAGCCCGTAGTCCTCGGGCGCCGGTTTTCCTCTCCATAGCGAGCGCGGCCACCGCCCGTAAGGCTTCGTCGCTGAACGACAGCTCGCACTTGTCCATCGCGAACAACAACTTGTATTGAGCCACCTGACATATACATATATATTAACATGATGTTGCTATCGTATGGAATATAATAAATAAATAAATAAAATTAGCCTATATTGCTGTTTCATATTGCAAAAACTACTTCTACTAAATATATACATTTTATAATATTATTTCATATATTATTAAATTAAATTAAGATAATATTATGCTATTTCTTAATTTAATCTTAAATTACTTATAATTAAATGTTCGTTTTAAAAACAGCTTGTCTTTCGACATAGGCCTCCTCTAATCGTATGAAATATTTTACAAAAAAAACGATACGTCGATTAGATTTTTCTTTTGGTTTTTGGTCTTGATTTTTCCAATATTTTGTGTCTAGTAAGTCATAATATCACAAAACTATAATTATGATAAATCGAGCACGTGTTACTTCCTATGACTACCAAGCAGTTAGTAGAATACATTCAATATAAATGTTTTTCATCTTTCTGTATTTCTAACTAAACTTCTGTACTTCTAACACTTAATCACTTAATTCGACTCATTTCAATATAACTCTATAATGTGATCTCCTCATGCACATTTTTGGGTTCAAATAGGAAAATCTGTCCAACTAACTCCGAAGCCATATGAAATATTATTTTATTATCAGAACCCATATATAGTCAGTATACATACAATAGCGTTCTTGGGTTCCGTGAGTATCCTCACTAACAGATCTTGGTTCAGACTGTGGAAGGGAACCAGCACCGGGAAACGACCCACGAACTCCTGTAACAGAAAAATACATAATATGAATATAACAATTTGATTATGTCCTCAATATACCTTCATATATATGTTGCATTATAACATACAAGCTGCATCTCCTGGGATTTCATTATAAATATTTATATATAAAAGAAAGTTCTGTTAGTTACACTATTTATAACTCATAAACACGGGTTTGAGTGGAAATATGTGAAGATGTAGACTAAAACCAGGAGACGCACATAGGATACTTTTGAATTCGTCGAACTAAAAAAAATTTTGGTAATAAAATCAAAATCTGTTTATTTACTGCCTCTAAATCAAAACAATCTGACGGGTCAGCTACACATTTGTAATTATGAAATTAACGAGAACAAAGTCGCGAGCAAAAGCTAGTGAATTGATATACATAGATATAGTGTGTTTGATTTAAGCTGAGCTTTGCATTTGTGTGAGTGCACACGGATAGTGTAGGTGTGATGTCAAATTTTTGAATGCCAAGTTATTTTCTAGTTTTGATCCGGTTTATAATGCTCTTTCTTCGCCCCGCACCTTCCGCACTTCACTCTTTGTACTGGTAGCATCGTCAAATGTTGAAAAAGCAATGTGAAGTGAAGAAAAAAATTGTATAGTTTATTAATATTTTTTTTATTAATAATTATTTATCCCATAATATTTCCATCTGGCCTTTTACAAGTTTTTCTTAATTAATTTTTAGTGTAGAATAAATCTCGCGCTTATGTTATAATATAAAATATAATATAATAAAATGTAATTTTAAAAGTTTAATGTATAAGTCTACTTATACTTTAACTCACACAAATGCAAAGCTCAGCTTAAGTCTAACGGACTATAAAGAATGAACAATTCATCGCCGTCAGTGTACACAGCTCTTATACAACCCCGCCGTGCGTATGTGTATGTGTGCATCTCTGTGTCTGTATGTGTGTGTACCGGTATCATCCCGAAGTCTATAAGGTCCCTGGCCTGCACGGCCCGCAGCCAGTGGTCCCTCTCGCCCGCCTCGTCCGTGGCGCTGTCTAGGGGCGAGGCGTCGGCGGCGGCGGCGGCCAGCGCGGCGCGGCGACCCGACCGAGGGTCCCACGCACCGAAACCGAGGTACTTCTCGTTGTTACGACGCTGGATCAGTCTGAAATAATACGAGAAGTGGGTTACTACTATTGGAACTGATACATATAATAATAATTTATATTGTAGATCCATATAGTGTTAGTATGTTACACATAGCCTACGCGGGAAAACCGTCGCATCAGCGATGGCCTGAAAATTCATCAAAATCAGTAGTGTTGCAAGCAGCCATTGACGTCAATCAAAGTCTTCGTTTAAAATTATGTATATTGATTGTTCCAACTTTGTCCGATTATCACTCAACTATTTTTTAAGTTAAATGTAATTTTTTATAATAATTATTTAATAAAGTAATTGTAAGAAAAGTTTGCATTTTTTTGGATCCTCCGGTTGCACCTATCGTAATTAGTACAATTTAAACTTAATAAATGAATTGGTTAGTAAATTTACAAAAATGACATTTTATTTATGATACTTAGCTAATTTTAAACATATATTTTACTTGACTACGTGGAGTCGTATCCAGTGTGCTAAAATTGGTGAATCCCAGCGTAAATATGTGTAAGGAGAATAATTATTATCTGTCTAAACATTTTTTATATTATCTGTCAATTGTTATGCAGTTAATATACGATGAAGTGTAACCGTTAGAGTGTGAAAGAGAGAGAGAGAGATGCAAGATTAATCATTGTGTGAAAGGGATCGAAAATAGAATATAACCTATTCTAGCTAAGAAAATTATGCAAAAAATACAGTATTAAAATGTCATTCGTAGTTTTAATACGTTTACATATGTTGCAAAAATATTCTAATGATGTATGACCTCGTTGGAATTTAAGTCCAAGACGATGGACGAATTTTTCTGGATGAACTTATGGAATTAATTTGAAGGAAAATGCGTGAATAATGTTAGTTATTAAGTCAGTAGTTATAAGGCCCGCCTATCATGCATGAGGGCGCGGGTTCGATCCTGGTAAGTATCAATGTGATTTTTCCGAGACATATGTACTTTCTATGAGTATTAAGACATCACTGACAGATGAAGGAAAACATCGTGAGGAAATCTGGACTTATACTTTCACAATTATAAGTTTGAAATCACCAACCCGTCTTGAACAAGCGTGGTGCTTAATGCTCAAACCTTCTCCATGTGAGAAGAGGCAGCTCAGCAGTGGGCTCTGATAGGCTGATGACGATTAAGTATAGTATTGTTATTATATCCCCCACCTGTCGAGTCCGTTATAAGCGCCGCTCGCCACGAACAGTATATTGGTTGTGTCGACCTGCACAGCGTCTCCTCTCAGCTTGCGTGAGTTCCTCTCAGGGACGGACACCAACGCGCCCTCCAACATCTTTAACATACCCTGCTGGACACCCTCGCCTGGGGAGAATACGATAATGTAATTTTTTGTGGGGTAACTTATTATGGGGTAACTTATTGTGGGGTAACAATATGGGGTAACTTAATATGGGGTAACTTATTATGGGGGTAACTTAATATGGGGTAACTTTACTGAGTTAAGTGGGGTAAATTTTATTGCAGTAAGTTATGTTATATGAAACAAACAATCAAGTCAGCCTATTATTGAACATAGACCGTCTTTAAAGTTCGAGTAACTATCCTGGCCTTGGACAGGTTAAGTTTTGATTATGAAAAATGGTGGAATAACGACCTAAATTTGATGCAGATTCCTAACTGTCACTCATCTTACACGTGTTTTTTGTTATTTTCCTTTTCTTAACTGTGTTTTGGTCTTTATATTTTGGCAAGATGCTTAACTTTAGCCAGCACCTGACCCAACATTTCCTGCATTTTAACCCAAATGATCATATCTCGCTTTACCTTTTGCACCAAATAAAACGTGTGTCTATGTGTGTGTGTGTGTGTGTGTGTATGTCTCACCTCCAACATCTCTCAGCTGGTGTATGCCGGGCACGGCTCCTATCTTGTCGACCTCGTCCAGGAACACTATACCCGTCTGTGCTCGTTCAACACTGGCGAGGAAAATAACAACGGACTCATTAAAAACACTTCATAGAACATTGACCTTAGATAAGAGTCAAGGAAATATAACGTAGATGGAACCATTTATGATAATAATAAAAAATGGCAATATTTTACTTTGTTTTCAGTAAAGATCAAACCAAAGCAAAATGAATTGAAATGACTGAATCAATATAACTTGACCTCCCTTCTTAATACTACATGTTTATACATATAGTTCATGATAGTGTGGTGTATACTAACTTGAAGTTAGCGTCCTGCAGTAGTTTAGCGATGACGCTCTCGATGTCCTCGCCCACGTAGCCGGCCTGAGTGAGCGTGGTGCAGTCACAGATGGCGAACGGGACGTCCAGGCACTGCGCGATGGTCTGGGCGAGGAGCGTCTTACCTGGGGACACACACACACACACACACATACATATAGAATATTCAATAACATTGACAGACATTGGAACATACTTCGAAAACTGTCCTAGTAGGTTCTTTTCAAGAACTTTTGTTCTGGTAGAGAGAGGGGCTTGGACGAGATATTGATTGTATTACGAACTTTATACATTAATTTACACAAGGAGAAAACAAAAAGTTGCGCATATTTGCGTCTTTTCTGACATGGTGCCAAAACATATTTGAATATTTATTTTTATTTTTTTAATAAATTAATAAACTTTCAAAATTATTACTTTTATTAAACCTTATACTTCTACGTATATGTATGCAAAATTACAGATCATTCAGTTTTGACATAACTGAAATATGGAGTTTTGAGACGAACAATAGTGCGGCACCTACACCGTGAATACGAATTAGAAACCTATAGACTCGGTCTACCGCCTCTATTACCACTGAACCATCGTGTCTACTACTTATAGTTAGTATGTACTCACCGCTGCCTGTCGGTCCCAACAGTAGTACATTGCTCTTATCAAGCCTCAGTTCGTGGTTGTTTCTCTCCAACACCTCCGCCCCGCCCCCCGCGCCCGGCGCCTGCCCTTGGTTCACGTGAAGCAGATCTAAACACATACAAATAATACATTTATATATGAAATATAATATTAATCGATCTTATTCTGAACCTGTGACTTAAATGGTAGGATATGTCAATCACTTTGCCGACACAACCATCGTGTCCAAAAAGGTGAGTCGAGTGTTCTATATATTGTTATTTTTATGAACCTTATAATGCTTTTTGATTTAAGATTTTGTTCTGGATATTGAAAATTTGTAAAGTAGCTCAAAAAAAAAGAACTAAATTAACGTATTTTTTTTTTGTCTCAGTATTAACAATTTAAAAATTGCTTTGTTAAGTACTAGACGTGTTGTTTCGTATTCATTTAAACCACTTTCTATTATATTCTATTCAAGATAATGCCTTTATACAATGTAAGCCTAAATCCTTTATCAGACGTAAAATAATCACTTGACTATTGAGACACCAAAAAAAAATAGAATTTTTAGTCTAAGCACCAAAAACGAACATTGAAGAGCGCCTCTATTGTTACAAGTAGAAACGGTGACAGTTTTTCGTATAATCGATTCGTAACACTTTCTATATTTTTGTTCAGCGATCCATCACAAGATGAATCACTAGTATATTTCTGTTTTTGTTTAGTAATGACCTTAAACAATGAAATATTACTTAAATTTCGTTCGACGAAATAATAAAACGGGTCGACCCGCATCACTATAGCTTATTGAATGCTTATAATTTAACTAGCTTTTGCCGCGACTCCGTCCGCGTGGAGTAGTGACTTCCGGCAGATTTTTGGTTCTTCCCACATAGTTCCCGTTCTTGCAGGGTTTTCGGAATGGTCGAGTTCCCGTAGAGTTTTCAGGATAAAACCTATGTTTTTTTAAAATTCACAATGAAGTACTCTTAACCAACAACATATTTATTTGTTTATTTGAATAAAGACTTTATAAAATTATTTCGACCAAATTAGGTATCATAAAAACGGTTTTATTGAGTTAATCTTAAAAGATAGACATATACTGTCGCGGACTGTTTTTTAGATTATTAAAAGAGCTTTTATACTTTAATACATATTTTTGTGTATCTTGAACCATTTTCAAGGCGCACGCAACGAAAGGCTTCAAAGATGAAATAATTTCTCCCGTTTTTTACACATTTACCACTATATCTTTGCTCCTATTGGTCGTAGCGTGATGTTATATAGCCCACAGCCTTCCTCGATAACTGGACTATCCAACACAAAAAGAATTATTCAATTTGAACCAGTAGTTTTGGATATTATCGCTTTCAAACAAACAAACAAACTCTTCAGCTTTATAATATTAGTATAGATAAGTCTCGCTTCTGATGACTTGTGTGACTTTATTTTAGTTAAATTTTTTTGAGAACTATTAAAAAGATATAAATCATAATCGTATACTAATATAATAAATATAAAATAACATCAACCTAAGTTTTCAGTACATGATTTAACATACTCTGACATTTTACATTCAATTCGTAACTAATAATATTATTATCTGCTTCCGAAGAATCGTGATAAGGAAAAATTTTTCATCCATTCATTATTTTTTATTCTACCATATTGTTTTGAGTTAATTATTTCATGTAATAGTTTTCAAGAGCAAAAAATACATGTATACATATACATACAACACTTTTGTATTTGTTTAAGTTATGTAAACGTATACACTATGCAGTGTGTACAAGACACGTGATTTGCTCTATTATGTATAAGTCCCGAGAGGTACTCGAGTGTGTACAAATTATAAGTTCGCTGGGTTGTGTACAAGTTAAATATGTTTTGCATCTTTATATATGTGACTTGTATGTCACGCAACTGTATATAGGTCTGGTCTCGTTTTAGACTCAATTTATACAAGTCACGTGTTTCGCTTACGTGTGTACAAGTCACGAGTATTGCTTGTGTGTGTACATGTCACGAGTACTGCTCGTGTGTGTACAAGTGAGGTAATACCTCTGTGCGTGTGATGTAGCGGGTGTTGTCCATCGGCGGGCGCCCCGCTCGTCACGTTGTTGTATATACGCTTGTAGTGATTGTACACGGCCACTGACAGAACCTTCTTGGCGTACTCCTGACCCACCACGTGCTTGTTCAGATATTCGAAGATCTTCTTTGGTGGAGGAGGAGGTTTCCTAGAAATGGAAGCATTACAACTATTAATGTGTATGTGTGTACAAACATTTATATAAGTTAAAGGAGATCTAAGACTTTCGAGAGTATTCAGTTACATGAAACTAATATTTTTTCGGATTACTATGAATATTATGTTATTTTTAATCTTGTCTGCCCGGGATCAGGAATGCTGCAGAGTAACCGAAATGTTGGAAGTATGTTGTTTTCTAAAATAATAAAATACGAGTAGTAATCGGAAAAATATTAGTTACATTTATATACTATAAACTTTATTGTATTCAATTTATATTTAATTAAGCGACGAGAGAATGAATTTTCTTAGTGCTGAAATTATCAATATATTTTCATGTTGTAAGTTTGATATGTAAATATCAGTTCTATCTATTGAGCACATGATTTCAGTGTCACAATGAATAAATTGTTCAATCAAAATGAACATCGGACTATAGACGCAAATACTTACCAAATAAGGTCCTATTGTATGAGAATCAAATGCTATTTAAGATTACATTCAAGATATCTGTACATCATTTTATGCAAATTTTTTGTATAAGTTTATTAAAAAATCAATAAAATATATGGTATGAGAAATGTATTAAAAAATAATTTCAGACACGTCTTTACTCGCTTTTTACGTACAAAATCTGTGTTTTGAATCATTTTTTAGTTTGGAAGTTTATTTTATATTATATGATTGATGTTAACAATGATTTCTAAACGATATTGTGAAAAAAACTACCAAAATTATATAATACGTAAAATTACTGAAATCAACTTATTCATGTATTGATTAATACTTATTTTTCTTATATAGCACATATTAAAATACTAGAGTAACATATCTCCGTCTATTTATATATACATTTCTTTTAATGCATACATTTAAAATCTAAAAACATACTAGTATAGATCACTGCTTGTCCAATTTAAACTGACCTGTAGAATCCGGACTTGTTCTCAGTGTTGTCCTTGATGCTCTTCTTGGTGTCCACTTCACTGAGGACCACGAAAAAGTGGTGGCACTTGTCACACTTGACGAAACGTGTCGAACTGACGAACGTCTCGACGTGAGTACAGGGGTCCCCGCACTTAGGACATGTTAGGACTCCGCTACCGCCTTTCTTACCCGATGTACCTGGGTTGGTGATAGGAATCATAATATAGTACTACATAATATCTTAGTAATGATCTACAGTCAGTAGTGGCCTAGTGGTTAAAGGGCCCGCCTCTCGTTGCCGACGGCGCGGGTTCGATCCTGGCCCGGGCAAGTACCAATGTGATTTTTCCGAGTCATATGTACTTTCTAAGAGTATTTAGACATCACTGATTAATGCTGATTCCCAAAAGAGGGTTTTGATGTCAGGCAGGCGGCCGGTCGTAAAAACAATTAGCCACAACTATTCATAACATTTAAGGCAGACCCTGGCTATAGCTGGGAAATTGCCAGGTAGAAGAAGAAGAATATCTTAGTAATGATGCATTGATGATGGATATCATGAGTGGTGACCACAGAATGAAAAAATGAATGAATAGGACCAAATTGTCTAATAGCCGACATCTTTCTGCAACTAGTATAGGAACGGCATGTAAAAAGCAAAATTCAAAACCCAAAAAGTGACTTGTGTTACCAATGATCGGATTTACGCGAACATGGTTCGGTCAATGACCTTTAAAAATTAATATACATAATACAATCTTATCAAGTATTGTTATAATACTTGTCAATGAACTTTCGCTAGGAACACTCACTATCTATAGTTGCCATGTATATACTATTAAAATATATTTATCAATATTATACATACATATATATAAAAGTCGGAAGAACTTACTAGCAAATCGTTTGTTCGATGTAAAAAAAACTATAAGTGTCCTTTCATACTGATTATTATCAGACGAAAATGCGTATAAAATACTTTAACGAAAATAATATATTTCAAAAGCAAAGAAAAAAAAAAAAATGACATCAAAGAATAAAAATTAAAAGACTTTTAAACTATAACTCACAACAAGCAATGGGCTATTTAATTATTATAAATAAATCACTGATAACAGATTGTGATAAAAATATACCCACACATATACATGTATATAATATATACATATGTACCCATGATCCTTACACAATGAACAATTAAATTACAGCCTCCGATGGGAACCGAGAACACTTTCACCTTGGAAACGAGACATTGTATGATAAGATACGTGAACTCGATGCAATTATAACGATGAAATTGCAATTTGATCTGCTGTTTAAAACAATTTGCAATTCATTTGTTACCATCAATACGCTTTCTAAAGAGAGGACTAATTGATCTGATTTAAGTGAGATTATTCAGATGTGATGAAAAAATTAAATTCGAACAAACAAAAAATATATTGATGATATTATTAATTTGAAAGAGTGTACTTTTTGTTTGGATTTTGATAAAACTTTTATATATTGTATCTGAGACAACACGTAGGTTTTTTTTACAAAAATCCTTAAAGTTCGCGAAATTATGGATCAAGACAAAAAAAAATATGAAGACTATAGTATAATTAATTTTTTGTACACTATCCATTTTGATGTTGACAGAATTCTTATATTTACAAGAACCAAAGCAAAAACAAATACTATTATACTTATATGTTGTTCTAAATACTAGAGCAATTGGGTCTATGGTGACTAGTATACTTGGTCTAATCACCAAACCGTCTTGAGCAAGCGTGGTGATTAATGGTCTAACCTTCTCCATGTGAGAAGAGACCTTTGCTCGCTGGGCTCTGATAGGCTGATGAAGATACTAGGTCTTTGTATGTTGTTCAAAATATGAGAGCAATGGTGTCTATGGCCATGTAAGTATTGAGTGTTTTTGGTACTAACCGGATGTATTCCCATCCTTGTTGTGTGTCGGCGGCAGTTCCCCGGTGCTCTTCCTCAGACAGACACTGGTGCTGATGCTGCGACCACAAGAACGACGGATGGCGCGACATGTGTGGACACCTGACGCTACTAAACAATTATTTGGGTTAAGATAGGAAACTTCGCATCATTCAATGTATTCACCGTGAAGACGTCGGGTCCATCGTTGTAGTGAGAGGAGCTTCAACAGTGACTGGGACTTGTGACCCAGGTGTAGGTTTAAAGGTCTATCTAACGCGCGTTAAACGCTCACCTCCACCGTCCAAGCTCCTCTATCTAACAAAGAAACGAACAATAATCACTTGAAAATTAAGGTTAATCCTTAATTCTCAAGTAATTATTATTCGTTGAGTGAAATTTTAAGTTCTAATTAAATTTATATAAAATGTCTTTCATAAAGCAAGTTTCTTTATCATTCCAGTACAAAATTATTTACTGATGATAGATAATAGTAGATACACGTACGCTAACATGTGCTCAAGTTTTGTAAGCATTTCATCAAACTCATATTAGTAAAGAATATGAAACTTTTACGTTCATGATTACATTATTTTCATAAATTATTAATTTTAAATTTTCCATACACTCACATATGACCATTTATATCAACAAATTCATTTTTAGACAAGAACATTAAAATACGACCATCAACTATGAAATATATACCTTTCAATAAAAGACTTTTTTGGACTGGACTATACTTGAAGAATAAATCATTATAATTAAGCAATAAATATATAACAACAGTCCATTTCCAAAACACGAACAGCTACCATATATGGTGGTAAATACCACACGTCAACGAAAACGGTCACAGTGGGTATATTACAACATACACCTTGACACAATGACTGTACGAAACATACTTTTAATATATGCTTTAAGGTAATTTAATATAATAACATATCATTATATGTTTATTGATATTTTGTCAAAATGCCTTCTTCGTCTTTTTTTCATGACACGAACGTGAAACACTACTAGCTATACTAGTTTTTCACCGCGACTTTGTTGCGTTAATTTCATTGTTACAAAATACATATGTAAAGCTGACCAGGCGAACTGTTTCGATTTAGAGGCAACAAATAAAAAGATTTTGGATTTTATTACGCAATTTGTTGCGATCGAATTCAAAAGTATCCTATGTTTATCTCCTGGTTCTAAGCTACCTCCCCACCAATATCCAGTCAAACCAGTACAGTAGTTCTTGAGTTATAAATAGTGTAACTAACACGACTTTCTTTTATATTTAAATAGATATAGGTATAATTTTATTGTGTGATTTCAAAAATATAGCTTATTTGCGATGTCAGTACAGCGTTCAATCAAATTTACCTCAACGTCAAAACTTTTTTACATTAATTGATCATAATTTTAAATAAATACAATATCTTTATAAAGTAGCTGAGATCGCTTTGAAGTAAACATGAGAAAACATAATTTCAATTCGCCTTACAATTATCAATCTGTGAGTTCAAGTCAAAAGTACAAACTTATATATATTTTATTGAAAAACTCTTGAAATTTTCAAAGAAATCTGCTATCAAATATAATTTTAATATATACAAATTAATATTATATGCTCCTTTTGACATCACTAAAGAAATCTAGCATTCGATTTAAGTCTCTATCCAGGGACGGGAAAAACCTAATATTTTACGTTGTATTAAATATTTACAAGCGGAATGATGTATCATACATAATACATTATATGTACTATATAATGAAAGTAAACTTAACTATCGAATGCCTAATATTAGTCCGAGTTACAATCGTCTCCCTACATACTGACAGTATCAACGTCATACGTCTTGCATAATATTTAATCAAGAGATCGTAAAGAAATTGTATCAAAAAAGATGAAAAAAACATGAATTTTAAAAATAATATTTAAAAGTTCAATACAATAGTTTTAATACCGCCACATAAAAGGACATACGATTTTAAAAAATATTTTATCTTTAATCTTAAAACAAAAGTATAAGAAACATTGAATTACTAGTAATATAGTAATAGTGCTCACTTCAATACATGTAGTTAGTAAGTTAACATCGTCACTACATACGTAGCGTTAATAGTTTGGCATTCATAAATCTTCACAAATTATAGTATTGAAACAGTTTATTGAATGATAAACGGTAAACGCTACGTGTAATGTTATAACTCGGACTGATACTAAAACTCACATACTTTAAGTAACGCTTACTTGTCTCAAATTAAGTATGATAACTTTCTTATAAAGTATACATAATAATATATATATAATAGTTAATTTAGATGTAATCATAACATATTTGTAGAGAAAGTTGAAAACAAAATGTTATTGTAGAATTAAAATAAAAAGTATTTTATAAAGACGAAATGATAAATGATTGATGAAACAAATCTCAACACAAGTTCTCTAATATAATATTAGAGAACTTGTGTTTGCCCGTGACTTCGTCCGCTTTGATATCGGAATATAGTAATACTAGCTTTTGCCGCGGCTTCGTCCGCGTGGAATAGTGACTTCCGGCAGATTTTTGGTTCTTCCCACATAGTTCCCGTTCTTGCGGGGTTTTCGGAATGGTCGAGTTCCCGTAGAATTTTCAGGATAAAACCTATGTCTTTTTTATTCACAATGAAGTACTCTTAACCAACAACATATTTATATGTTGTATTTGAATAAAGATTAATATTATTATGTTGATACAACTTAAACAAATTATTTCGACCAAATTAGGTACCATAAAAACGGTTTTTGTGAGTTAATCTTAAAAGATAGACATATACTGTTGCCGACTGTTTTTAGATCATTAAAAGAGCTATTATTCTTTAATACATATTTTTGTGTATCTTGAACCATTTTCACGGCGCACGCAACGGAAAGCTTCAAAGATGAAATAATTTCTCCCGTTTTTTACACATTTACCACTATATCTTTGCTCCTATTGGTCGTAGCGTGATGTTATATAGCCCACAGCCTTCCTCGATAACTGGACTATCCAACACAAAAAGAATTATTCAATTCGAACCAGTAGTTTCGGAGATTAGCGCTTTCAAACAAACAAACAAACAAACAAACTCTTCAGCTTTATAATATTAATATAGATATGTAGCTAAACGGGCTAATCCTATTCTACTCTTGAGACCATGTATACATATTTAGATATTGGAATTTATTAAGTTTTTTTCGATCACACACAATTATATCCGTGTCCTGGTAGCTGGTACTATCTCTCCACCAATTTCTAACCATATTCCTACAGTCGTTCTTGAGTTATAAATAGTGTAACAACATAACTTTCTTATACATACCAGGTAGAAAATAATTAAAAGTATTGAGTACTTATTATTAAATAACATAACTTCAATAGGATACGTACTGATAATATTTATTCACAAATAAAATAGATGTGCTTTTGTTGCACGTATGTATTAAATCCACAATAAAGTGTGTAATAATAATCTCTACTAGTATTATGAAGGTCAAAGTCCGTGAGAATGTTTAGTAGTATACAGGATGACTGGTGAATTATTATCGATACTCGAGGACGTGATATTTGATGATCATATATTAATAAACTTCTAAGTAAAGTTAACCAAAAGTTGTGTAATTATTTACGCATCGTGTGAACACCCTACAGATTAGGTATACACACACACTCACACAAACGCGTGCGGCGGCGTGGTGTTGTATCAGCACGCCGCCGCACGCGTCCACACTTGGAACACTTGGAACGCGTCCACACTTTATTTATTTATACGGAAATTTGGTCAAAAATTAAGTACCTATTTTTTTTTTACATAATTCGAATGAGAATCATATACCGAGTACTCTCCTCAAATATTGATAGTAATTAACCAGTCACCCTGTATATGTTGCTCTATTATACAAAAATTACTTAACAGATTTCGATTAAACTTCACAATGACGTAGCTTAGACATCAGAATAAGGTAAAGGCTATAATTTAATCAAGAATCTCTATATTTTCCGTGGGAATGAGCCGTAAAAATGTATTCTACGTGAAGAGTACAAAGGTCGCTCACAAGAAGATGATATCTATTATATTCACACAGTACACTCTTCTATGTGATCTCAATTCCGAAATTCATGCAGAAGAAGTCGAGAATAAACACTAGTTATACATAAAATTGATAAAATATACAATGAAATTGTACACTTAAATGTACTTATACTACAGAAGTTGTTAATTTTATCATGCAAGTGCAAGAAGCCATGCTTAAGAGTTACTTATATAGTAATTAGTAAATATATTTATTTGTTGTTTTAAATTCATCATATATTTTTCTTATATCATAACCTTGACCAGTTCCCTCTGTTAGCCTCAAAAGTTAAATCATCATTCTAGATTAAATCAAAACCTAACTTTTTCATATAACACAGAAAAGTAATAAGATTACATGAATAAAATGTACATTATTTGTAACTCCAACCAATTGCTTCTGTATGCTTAGCACGAGTATGAATCATCATACAACAAACTCAGCGTTTCAAGTTTTATACTCAATTACATACGTCAATACTATAATCTTTGAAGTTTTATGAATGAAAAACTATTAAAGATACGTATGCAGTGTGTCATTTCTATTGGTTTTAATACAGTAAAATAAATATATTCAGTTATAATTTAAACATGATACGTAATTCAGTTATAATTTAAACATGATACGTAACCTTAGTCCGTGTTCTGAATTACTCAATCATCGAGTTCACGGTTAGAGAGCAACTTGAGGCTAACCTTAGCCGTTAATAATTCACTAACCTTGACAGTTAAAAATTACCATCAACTTTAACTATGTCGAAATTATTAATTAGTTATTCATATAATAATTGGAGCTTGGACATTGGAGGTGAGCGGTTAACGCGCGTTAGATACTCCCTTAAACCTACACCTGGGTCGCAAGTCCCAGTCACTGTTGAAGCTCCTCTCACTACAACGATGGACCCGGTACCCGAATGATGAGAAGTTTCGTCTTATATACTTCGATCAAACCTTGTACACGTAACAATTGATAATTTTAATCCACTTAAATTTCTCTTAACATAACAAATGTGTTATAAGAACATTTTTAGTTCAATTCCAAT